ATGACAGCCCTTCCCTCAGTCACAGATGACAAGTGCCCTCAGCCATGAATTAATATGTGGAGACACAAAGCTTGTGGGGTATTGGGGTCCTGATGCAATGAATGGTTAAGATATTTCATCATCCTTTGAATGGAATGAAAATTGCTGTGCCTCTTTAATCTGGCTGCATTGAAATCTGGTAATTGAATCATATTCAAATTTTTTTTTGTCACACTACTAAAATTTATTTTCTGCTTTATCCTGCCAGCATTTTTTAAACTTCCAAGTGTCTAGGGACTAAAATTGAAATTATATTAAATTTTCTTTATTTTCTCCAAATTCTTGAGTTTTATATAATCAGGTATTTATGTACATATAACTAAACCAACCTTTAGGCAATTTTTTTTTAAAGTCAGCTTTTCTTCAGCAGCATCTAAGAAGCTACCATGAAATTAGTGATATGTAAAATTGGTAGTATTAGTGTTCCTTTCCCAAAATGAAATGAAAGTAACTATTGTACTTGTACCTTTGGGTATTTGTACATCTCAGGTAAGACATGGAAGATGTGGGGAATGTTTTGAAAATGTAAGAGCACTAGACATATTCAGCAATAACTAGGATAATGGAACTCAAAGTTATAAAATTATATCATATTAGTGAAAAACGGTTTTAAATTACCTCATAAGAGTTATTTTATTGTTATAGCTTAATTCTTCTTACTTACGGCTCTATCTGCTTATGAATTACAAATCATTTGAAATAACAAGACATACTTTGAAAATTCTATAAGCCATTCATATCAAACGTCCCTGTATTAGTTTTCTATTGTTGCCATAGCATTACTACAAACTTAGTGATGTGAAACAATGCTTTTAATATCCGAAGAGTAAAGTAGTTTAGGAGTCTTTCTTAGTTTATTGGTGCTGCTATTACAAAATACCACAGACCAGCTTATAAAGAGCAGAACTATATTGCTCATAGTTCTGGAGGCTAGAAGTCCAAGATCAGGGTACCAGCATGGTTGGCTTAAGTCCTCTTCCAGGTCACAGATTTCTTTTTTTATCCTCACATGGTGGATGGGGCTTCGATCTCTTTGCAGCCTCTTTTATAAGGCATTAATCTTTATGATTCATGACTTTAAATCCTTACACCCTCATAATTTTAGCATCTTCCAAAGGCACCATCTGCTAGTATCAGACCTTTAGCAATTCAGAACTTAAGGGTTTGGAGGGAGGAGGGGAACAAAAACACTTAAACCATAGCAGTGTGATAAGGGTCTCCCTGGATTAAAATCAAGGTGTTGGCAGGGTGCATTCCTTTCTGAAGGTCCTAGAGAATCTGAATCTGTTTTCTAGTCTTTTTCTAGCTTCTAGAAGCAACCTGCATTCTTGGCTCATGGCCCTGTTTCTCCTTCTTCAAAGCTGGCATTCTGATTTCATCTTCTGCCTCTCTCTTCAATTAAAAAAAAAAATCCTCACCCAAAGATATGTATTTTTAATTGATTTTAGAGAGAAGAAGGGGGAGAAAGAGAGAGAGAGGGAAATCATCCCTGTGAGAGAGAAACATTGATAGGTTACCTCCCGTGCGTGCCCTGACTGAAACGAACTGAAAACCTGGGTATGTGCCCTGACTGAGAATCAAACCAGCAACCTTTTGGTGTACGGGATGATGCTCTAACCAACTGAGCCACACCATCCAGGGCTCTCTCTTCCACTTTTAAAGGATACTTGTGATTGATTACATTGGGCTCACCCAGATAGTTCCAGATAATCTCCCCACTTCAGGGTCCTTAATCACATCTACAAAATTTTCTTTACCATGTAAGGTAATATATTCATGGGTTCTGGGGATTAGGACATGGATGTGTTTGGAGGCCACTGTTCTTTCTGGTCTTCTCTAGTCTTTTTATTTCTTCGTTAAACCTAGGTCATCATCACTGAAATAGACCAAGAAAAAAATAAACTAGGCATATAAAAGTTAGTGTGGGCTCAACAACCGAGTTTAATCATATGGTCATTTACTATTTGTTGGAAATCTGTGTATGCAAGCATTGTGTTAGGTACAAGTGACATAAAGTGTGTTCCTGTCCCTCAAAGACCTTACTACTTAGGTGAGAAAAATAGGTTAAAAACACATGAGCTAATTATCAGGAAAAATGGTATGCTAAGCTGTGAAGTGCTGTCATCCAATTTAGTATGGTCTCAGAGAAAAAGATTCTTGAAAACTGTAGTAGTTGGGGGCACTCAATGAATCCTTGGCTATTAGGTAAGACTCTGGAGTGTAGGACAGGTGAATTCCGGAGGAAATCATGAGCTGCATTTGGAATGTTTGTGGAGAACAGGAGGAGACAGCGGAGGTTGTCATTTATTTAGTTCCTCAATCAAACCAATGAATAATCTTTCCTAACCCCATTTTTCTCCCACCCACTTCATCATACCCACTTGGTGGAAGTTTGGTGAGTCTTCTTTTCAACAATGATCCATCTACGTGGGTCCTCCTTTTTTTTTTTTTAAATTTATTTTTATTGATTTCAGAAAAGAAAGGGGAGGGAGAGAGAGATGGAAGCATCAGTGATGAGAGAGAATCATGGATCGGCTGCCTCCTGCATGCCCCACACTGGGGATCGAGCCCACAACCCGGGCATGTGCCCTGACCAGGAATTGAACTGTGACCTCTTGTTTCATAGGTCGACACTCAACCACTGAGCAATACTGGCCGGGCTGGTCCTCCTTTCTACATTCCCAATTTCTCCAGAGCTCTGTGAGGTCATGTTACTCTAGGCCAGCCGTGGGCAAACTACGGCCCGCGGGCCGAATCCGGCCCGTTTGAAATGAATAAAACTAAAAAAAAAAAAGACCGTACCCTTTTCTGTAATGATGTTTACTTTGAATTTATATTAGTTCACACAAACACTCCATCCATGCTTTTGTTCCTCCGGTCCAGTTTAAGAACCCATTGTGGCCCTCGAGTCAAAAAGTTTGCCCACCCCTGCCTAGGCCCTAGTCTAGGAAATAGAGTAGTACTATTGTTTGGTTGGTTAAAGGTATTAAAGATGTATTTCCAAAGATTCATGGCATTCTTTTTTCTCTTAGATCTTTCTGCGTGTCAGCTGAGTGTTAATTGTTCAGATTCATTGCATTTAAAAGTCTAGCCCTAGCCAGTTTGGCTCACAGGGTCTTGGGTTCAATTCTGGTTAACCTTGGTTGCAGGCTTGATCCCCGGTCCTGGTCAGAGTTTGTATGAGAGGCAAACAATTGATGTGTCTCTCTCATATCAATGTTTCTCTCTCCCTCTGTCTCTCCTCCTCCCTTCCACTCTCTCTAAAAATCAATAGAAAAATATCCTCAGGTGAGGATTAACCAAAAAAAGATAATAAAAAATAGCTTAAAAGTCTAACCTCTATTGCTTCTCAGCCTTTTGGCTAAGATGGAGTGTAAAGGTCTAGCCTCTATATCCCTAGCACAGTGTTACTGTTCTGCAAGGGTAAACTGAACCCACACTTCAAAATTAGCAGCTTTACAAACTAGAAGACAACGAGGTAATTGTCATAACTTCTATAAGGATGAAAATATTTTGAAGATTGCCGTTTCACCAGGCCGTCTTTACTTACCTGTTTCTGGTAATGGATGACTTATGAATTGGAAAGTATCTATGGAGATGTGTTATCTACTGACATGCTATGGTAAATTATTTAAGTTGTGGAATAATTTGATGGATCTAAATTATGATATAGATTAATCATATTTAGACTAATCTCAATATGATATATTAGCTGAAGCTGGAAATTGATTTAGTTTTATCTGCTTCTTTAAAAATAAAATTCTGCTCTCATTTTCCACCCAGTAGAAAAAAATTAAGTGGATAAAGATTATCTGGAGATTTAAATTCTTTCATTCAACAAATATTTCTTGAGTGCTGCTTTTGTGCTTAAGTGCTAGAGATGTGAAAATAAACAAAATTCCATCTCAGCCCTTGTGGGTCTCTTAGGCAGCAGGAAGAAAGACAGGCAAACTGAAAGCATGTATTGGGAAGCCTGGCCTGTTCATCTCTCCCCACCCCAACTCATGAAAACCACTGATCATTTTACTTAGTTTTGTCTTTTTTTCATAGCTTTTCCTTTTCCAGAATGTTCTGTAGTTGGAATCATTCAGCATGTAGCCTTTTCACATTACCTTCTTTCACTTTGTAATATGTATTTAAGGTTCCTCCATGTCTTTTTATGGCTTAGTAACTCATATTTTCTTTTAGTATATACCTTAATTAAAATAAATAAATATTTAAATAAATAAATAAATACATATATATATGGATTTCAGAGAGGAAGGGAGAGGGAGAGAGAGATAGAAACATCAATGATGAGAGAGACTCATTGATCGGCTGCCTCCTGCATGCCCCCTAGGGAGGATCGAGCCTGCAACCCAGGCATGTGTCCTTGACCTGAATCAAACCCACGACTCTTTAGTCCACAGGCCAACACTCCATCCACTGAGCCAAACCAGCCAGGGCTATACCTTAATTTTTAACATCTGTATTAAGAACTGGTCGCCAATCTAGATAATCTAGGGATCTCAGTAAATACAGATTTTTTTCGTTTTTAAGGTCATCACTCTCTCCCTGGGGGTTCTGAGTACATATATAACACATTGAGAGAAGCATTGCTCCTGACTCTTTGTTATTTTTATTGATTCAACAACTAACACAATTAAAAACATCAAAATTTAGAGAGAGAAATTGGTCCATAGTAGGAGCACTAACACATTCACCTTTTGCAAATGTTGCTTGGTTTTCTTCCCAGTCTTTTTTCAGAGGATACTGAGGCTAAGAGGTGTGCAACATGTTTTATTTATTTCATCACTTTTTGGACCTGGCAAGAGGTTACACTGAAATAATGACTGTTCAGTGTTAAATTGTAATTTTGGTTAACCTATGGTTAGATGTGTATTAAAGATTATATAATTCTTCCATACATGGGGACAAGCAACAGACTTTGCATCAACTAACATTGTATTTTTTCAAATTAGATGCTGATGGGAAGTTAAGTGTGAAATTTGGGGTCCTCTTCCGAGATGACAAATGTGCCAACCTCTTTGAAGCATTGGTAGGAACACTCAAAGCTGCAAAACGAAGGAAGATTGTTACATACCCAGGGGAGCTACTTTTGCAAGGTGTTCATGATGATGTTGACATTATATTGCTGCAAGATTAATGTGGTTTGCATATCATTGTTCATTGTTATTTTCTGGTAAACTGGAATATTTTCAAGTCTGAGGAAAAACATGAGCATAGTTAATGTATTTTTATAGAACTTTGTAAACAAAAGGAGACTCATTTTAGAAGTCCATCCTTTTCATATCTTGAAAGAAAATTTATGTATTACACTGTAAAATAAACAAAAATGATTATTTTTCTCAGGAATCTGGTTGAAAAATGTAGGCATTGAAGTTTTTGTGGTGGGCGTGTGAGAGTTTCATAAATCATTCTTAGACAATTTCCATAGATAATTGATATTCTGTGAAAGCAAGAAGCAAACTAAAGACCAGCTCCCACAAGGAATATTTTAATGTTTATGTAATAAAAACATGTTACTATCTTAAAAGTGCCTTATTGTTTTATTTTGTCATTGAAGATTGATGTGCCTCTCAGAATCGAGTTTTTGCATCAAGAGTAGGTAACTTACTCTTGCAGTGAAAGTTATCTTAATTTGAAGAAAAATTCTCTTAAAACTACAGAATAGTTTAAAAATTAAAAAGTAGGCCATAGCCGGTTTGGCTCAGTGGATAGAGCACTGGCCTGCGGACTGAAAGGTCCCAGATTCAATTCCGGTCAAGGGCATGTACCTTGGTTGCAGGCACATCCCCAGTGGGGGTTGTGTAGGAGGCAGCTAATCGATGTTTCTCTCTCATCGATGTTTCTGGCTCCCTATCCCTCTCCCTTCCTCTCTGTAAAAAATCAATAAAATATATTTAAAAATTTTTAAAATTAAGGGTGGTTCATGTTATGGTGGGCCCTATGAAAAACATACTGATTTTGATGCCTGTTGTATGTTTATCATTGAGTTAGGGGACATGCCAAAACATGGAACCTAAAAACTTCACTTTCTAATTGGATTAGTTAGACCCACCTGACACAATACAGGATTGTCTATAATTGCATGTTGCAGCCTGTAGTACAGGATTGAAAGTGATATAGAATCTCAAGGAGGGTGAAATCAGAGAAAGCATGACAGTTGGCAAAGGTATCATAGAGGAGGCAGAATTCACATGGTCAGAGTTGATTATCCAGAGGGGGAAAATGAGACTGTGGGACGGTAATGACTAAAGGTAAGACAGAGAGACACAAATTAGCAAGGCATGATCTTGTGGAAGGTCAGAGAACATCAGGTTGACGGGAATATGAGGGAGAGGGGTGGTTCAGATTGGGTAATTGAGGTGGAACCTGGGAATCAGGGAGAAGAGTCTGAACAGAAATTGGAGCAGGGAAGTTCCACAATGACAGTGATGTTCAGTGAAGGTCACTCCGTCACTGGTAACTAGGGTGGATTGTAGAGAGTAAAGATGCAGTCAGACAAGCCAGCTAAAACATTGCCCAAGAATATCATGGGGGTAGTGATAATGCAAATATTTCCCTTTAGATTTGAGAGCCCTTTGTAATGACTTCATATATGGGTAGTAGTTTCTCTTATTTGGATCCTGGCCTTAAAAATTCAGAATCATCAATTTGATTTCTTTTTGAGCCAGATTCACAGTGCAACTAATCCTTTGGGCCATAAACTGCATTCCAGTTAATCATCTCAGTAATGAGTGCCTTTGGCTATAGGTGGGTGGGAGTTAAAAATGTAAATAGTATACACAAACATTGTCATTCATGAAATGAAATTTTATAGCATCTACTTTGGGCAAGTCACTGTGGTAGGCAATATGGATTATTAAAGCAAAGCAAAATAAGAATACAATTTGATTCCAATTTTCAAAGAAAAACCATTTGCGCAATATGTATTAAATATAGAAGCTTTGTGTAAATGACATAGGGATACAGATGCACAAATCATGAATTATTCCAGGGGGGAGCTGAGATGAAGTGAAGTTAGTCTTAAAGCAGCACAATGATTGGGAAGGACTCTACTGATGGTCGTTACTGCCTACAAAGGGAAAGAAAGGCCAATAAGGAAGGGAGGAAAGAGGAGTATTGAGAGCTGTGGTTGGAAAAGTTGGTTGAGGCATTATATTGTACTCCTGAGATAGAAAAAACAATTTTAAGTGTATGTCTTAATAATGATGCATTATAAAGAACTATGAAAAATGTGAAATAATTTGGTAAGTACCACTGTTTATGACATAACTTTAATTGTAGGTTTCCACAACAGTGCTATTTTGTATACTGATATTATGTAAGACAATCTATAAGTATAGCTCATCATCTTATAGTGAATGACTTAGTGCTAATTGAAAAATTGATGTTACCACTTTTGCACTCAAGTCTCCATTCCTTCCAACCCAAAGTGTCTTCACTAGAAGGAGAACTACAGAAAAAAAAATTTTTTTAATGAGACCTTTTGTTGAGGCAGCTAAAGAAAACTACAAGATATGGGTCTTCAGATAGACTCCTCTCCCAGAAAAATATGATCATTTCTGATTTCTCATCATACATAAAAAGCTTTTGAGGAGTGAGTTTTCTTTGAAGAGTTATTTATATCTTTTGCTAAGGAAGAGGAAACTCCAAGATTATTTGATCGTAAATAACTTAACAGCACATGCCTTTCTCTTGACTTTTCCTAGATATACGAGGCTATATGTGAATGAGGCCAATACCGCGTGCCACAGAGGAAAGGCTTGTCCCTTGGCCATCACATATGTTTGTATTTTGTCTATCAGTCCATAGGCCTTTTTTTCCTTATTGTCTGGAACCACAGGAAACAGCTTAGACACCAGAAAAATCCGAGATGTTAGTGTTTAATTAAGACAAATTCCTCAAGTCAACTTTTCCATAACTTATTTTTAAATGTGCCTCCAGGCCACAAAAGGGTGCTTGGATTTTCTGTGATGGGAACTTGAGTAAACTTGAGTGCAAAAGTTTTGCATACCCAATGTATGCTACAACTGTAACCCTCTCAAGACCAACTTCACCTGATTCTTTCTGTCTATGAATGCTTCAGCTTCCAAGTTATCCAGACAGAGATGAGGATGAGGATGAGGAAAGTAGGTGTGGGTGCCAGGAGAAGCCCAGAAAGATCTCATCCCTGGAGCATGTGGGACTTAAGTCATTAGCTAACACAATCTAGGATCATCATATGTTACTTCACGTGCATGTGTTCTGCAGAAACTAAAGAGGAAGTGGAAAAAGAATTAGCATACCACATCAGGAAATAGTATATATTGCAAAATAGGAGCAGAAAACATAATTATTTGGGAGCAGAATTTATTGGGACAACTTTATCTAATTCCCATACAGCTCAATAACAGGTATGTATCTCATTAAATAGGTGCCAAATTAATTTTGTGGAATGCACTACTTGATTAAAATAGTAAAGAGTCTAAACATATATTCAGTATTTATTGTGTGTTGATGTTGTGATCAACAGAGAAGGAGCTTGCTGACATCTGACTGCAGAGAGAGGTATTAGTGCCAAAAGCCCATAATACAGGCGAGGTATTTTGGAGCTGGAGTTAACCACAGAGTTCAGCACTTTACCGTTATAGCCAGGAAGCACTCAGCAAATCAAAGAAGTAAATCCTTGAATTAGAGTAGTGGACAAATCTAATAACCTCTAAGCCTTGATTTCTCCTCGTCTGTAGTATGGGGAAATAATAATAATAATAATAATAATAATAATAATAATAAAACTTTTAGGCTTATTGTGAGGATTAACTGAAACACAGTAATTGCTCAATCATTATTAGTTGTTACTATTGTTTGTCATGGCAGGGACACTGTTGTTGGGGTTGTAATTGTTATCATTATGTGTTTCTTGCAGTACTGAAAGTAACCTCAGCATCAGGGGTGACTTATGGCAAGCAGGGGACGTTGTCACAGTCAAGGTTTCACTATATCATACTTCCAGGGGAGGAAAGAAGGCTCATTGCAAGTCACAGGATTAAATTCAGAGACAAACTTACAAATGATAGTTTTCTTTCGGTGGATTTTTGTTTGAAGGTTAACTCTCCTCTTCCCATCACGCAACATACCATTGTCCACTCTATGGAGACTTTGTCTTTTTGTTCACTGATGAACTCCACTCCCTAGAACAGTGATGGCACTTAATAGATGCTTAATAAATCAATGTTGAATGAGTGGATGAATGAAAGGGTGGATGGATGAATTAGTTTAGAAGAAGAGCTTGGTTGCTGTTCTGAGCATCAGAAGTATGCTCATGTATCATGGTCACTTACAACTTAAAATAACAAGAAAGAATATGGATTGGCAGTTAAAGTTCTTTGATTTGGCGTGCTGTAGTTTTTTAAAATCTCTTTTGGCAGTTTTTATTACAAAGTGTTTGGATGATAAACGAGTGCTTTCTTACAGAAAGGTAACACATGGCTCCTGTATTTTATGAAATAACAAACCCCTCGTTTCATTGCCAGGTTTTTAGACTATGTTTCATAATTAGAGAAATAAAAACGAGCCTTTGCAAGGCTGTGCCAAAATTGAAAAGTTTTGGGATGAATCCAGGACAATCTAGTCTTAGGTAGTACCTATTTAGGAACTAGAGCCCCACATACACAGGAGCTTGTGATGCAGGAGGAGATAGGACGGCAGCTGCCTTCTCAGAGAGCTGTGGCCAGAGAAGTGTCCACAATGATAGGTCTGGCTGATGAGGCTCTTGTTGAGTAGGACATTCCAAGGTCATTAAAGAACAAGAGTAGGGGATGCTAGAGTTGGATAAAGGTTTGGAGAACTTTCATTTTATGACAATCAGTTTGGAAATTTGGGGAGGCTTCAAACTGGGTTGAGAGAGAGGAAATGACAAAGATAAGACTAGACTATAGAATTAAGAAAAGGGAGAGTACTTAGTGGGTCTGGGGCAAAGATACCAGTGGAGGAGGTACAGGGCAGCAAATGGCCTAAAGCAGTGGTTCTCAACCTTCTGGCCCTTTAAATACAGTTCCTCATGTTGTGACCCAACCATAAAATTATTTTCGTTGGTACTTCATAACTGTAATGTTGCTACTGTTATGAATCATAATGTAAATATCTGATATGCAGGATGATCTTAGGCGACCCCTGTGAAAGGGTTCACAGCCAAAGGGGTTGCGACCCACAGGTTGAGAACCGCTGGCCTAAAGGAAAGGTTGTTTGCATATTCTTCCTTAGTACCATGGTTTGCAAAATGGGGTTCATTGTAAGGTCATCATGAGGAGTCCACAACTGATCTAAACATGCTAGGTATTTCTTGGGTGCTTAGGGGAAAGTTATTTTCATTTTACATAGGGCTAAGAGATGCTAACTAATAACCTACAAAGGAAGCTAAGGGTTGATAAGCTTAGTTGTTTATAAGCTGAAATTAAGGTAACTATCAGAGTTGATAAAGCATCTGATTCAGTAGCCTATTGAAAAAGCTGGTTGGACTAGCATCGCAATGTTATAGAGCTCTTATTGCAT